TTGAAATTGAAATTATAATCTACCCGTTTCATACATTCTTTTCTATGAAAACGTGAAAAATGTTACATACACACAAAAAACGAAAATTGTATCGGTAAAAATATTAACCTTTCAATTTAAAAGTACCCCAAAATTTGTTACTTGAACTATGAAAATATTTGAAACAACAAGGTTATTTTCAATCCAAAAGTAGATGTTTTGATTTTAACTTGTAGTTTTAAAAGTGCAGATTTTCAAATCAAAAATTGTTTTACTGTCAAAACAACTTCTTCGGGGGTAGGTTTCTACCCATTTTTGGTTAGTTTTTGAATAACGTGAGTAAATAAAAATAAAAACGCGCAAAATGAGAATTGAAAATTTTGCTTTATTAATTTCTATTCGACCAGTTTTCAAAACAAATCCCTGCTGCATTCACCGGATCATCCGTGAGCTAGACCGGCTGAAAATATAAATAAAATACGGCGATACCACAGGATCAATATGGTAAGTTTATCTACGATAATGCCTTGTTCAGACTAGAGAGTTTTTTACGATAATAGAATCGTTTTCTTTTCGGAAATTTCAGCATCAGTCAAAAGTAAGATCATCGTTCCGGATTGGGTCACACCGGACTCTGAGCCAGATGGCTGAAACGATAGCACCACAGTTTAAGGTTGAAGCAGGGGAGTGGATTGCATGGACGGCTCAACAGATGCTGACGAGGATGGCGGACAATTCCACAATTCAATATTTTTAATTTTTTTTTTGTTAGTTTTACATTTAAAAAATATATATACGTAAAAATCAAAACAATGAACTTTATGTTTAAAAAGAAATAAAATTTTATTTGATTAACTACGCTCTCATTTTGAAATAAGATAAAATTTATTTTGACCTAACCTACTCTTAATTTGACAGTTCTACAATTTCATTTCAAAAGTAGAAACTTTTAATTTGACATTTATAAAATTTAATCATAAAAGTTGTGACTTTTAAAATCAAAGGAGTCAGCATTTTTATTTTAACTGTTCATGTCTTTTGCAATTGAAAGTTTCTAACTTTCTACCAAAAAGAACCAATGCAAACTTTTAATTCTACCAACGGTTTTTTTAATTCTATTAACGTTTATTTTTTGTGTGTAGGACATTTTGCTCTTGTCAGGTGTACATTGGACATGTTATATAGGACGTTTTGTTATAATCACAGTTACATAGGTCATTTATGTTTTCAACATTATTTGTTTGTTTTTAAGCATTATGAGTGCATAATTTAAGTTATACGAGCTAAACGAACAATATGAGTATTGGACAATGCATCAACTTTTTTTTAACGGTATATCGCAACACTGCCCACAGATTGTTTTGGTCGATCGTTGGTGGTAGCGTGAGCTGCTTTTTATTTGATAACAGTGTTTTTTTTAGGAGCTGTTCACTAACTACGTAGACAGCTTTTCGGTATGCTTAACCCCCCTCCCCATGCGTAGACAATTGTCCATATACAAATTTTAAAATTTGTATTGGCCGTGGATAATTGTCAACCCAACCCAACCCCCCCCCCCCCACGTGGAAATAGTAGAAAAATGCTTAACATGAAAATTCCGATGTGCACAATCATATTGTTTTGGTTTGTTTGAACATTTTAGACGTTTTACTCGTATAAACACAAAGGACCGAAGTACAGATCTGCACTGTTTTGGTTTTTCTGATACTTCAGACGTTTGTCTTGATGAACATAGTCAAACGTCTTATGTAACAGTGAAACATCGTTAATGCAAATTTTGATTTCAGACGTTTTGTTAATTTAGAATTTTCTCAATTCAATTGACATTAATCTGAATGTCTGTGTGTGCATAATGTTCTTAGATACAATTGTTACAATGTGCATTTATAAACTCGATTTGTTTACATTTGTTACTTAGGACCTTTTGAAAAGTTAGGCGAGATTTCAATACGATGTGAATTGCTTGCTCAGAAAGGTAAACATCGAAAACAAGAGTTGTGACTTTTCCCTATCAACCCGCCTCATATATGAGAACAACCGTGGCACAGTGAGATCGAACGAAGACTCTGGCAGCAGCACATCCCAACAGTTCATGATCGAATCCAAAATCAGACCCATTAAAAAGATATGTGAAAGCTCTGGCCTCTGGCAGTTTTGTTTATATATTTGTCGATTCATTTTTAGAGTCAGTAAAGTAGAAGTCGATAAAGTAGAATATTGTAGAATATTGAACTATGGTGTGCAAAGCTATTGATATCACCATATGAGGCACATAGAATCCAAGTGTGTCACAATTCAAATCCATAGTGTTCAGGCATGGTTCATAGCATAAGATTCACACATGAAATGAATGTGTTTCACAATAAGCGCAAAATTAAGTGTGAGACACATGATGATGGCGTGTGGAATTTTTTGAGTGTAGTTTTTTGCTATGTGCCATTAAACATGCTGTTCATTTGGGGCACACATAGTTGGCATAAGTAAGACACATGACGTTCATGTGTCGTTTTTAAAATTTATGTGTGGGTCGTTTTAAAAAAGTTATGTGTGAAATCATATAAATAAAACCAGCAAAGGTTTTATCAGTGTAAGATAACATATTGAATATTTTTCATCATAAAACATCGTCGCTAAAACACTACCTAACAGATGGCATCTGTTAGGTATAATGAGATGCACGCTAACTTGAAAGTACCCATTAATGGTTGAAAAAGACCCATTTTGAAGAAAAGAGGCTTAACTCATTAAATGAGTAAATTTTTTACCCATTAATGAGTATCTGTTACCCATTAATGAGTAATTGTTAATCATTAATGGGAAACAGATACTCATTAAAGGGTAAAATTGTTTAATCATTAATGAGTTAAGCCACTTTTCTTCAAAATGGGTCTTTTTTTACTCATTAATGAGTACTTTCAAGTTAGCGTGTGTACAGTACGCAAACAGTGATGAACAGTCATCAAACGCAAAGGAATTGACTATGTGCGCCACCGACAAACCGACATGACATTTAATTCTGACTTATGTCCGAAAATCGTAAACGGCCGATTTAAATGTGCAGTGATCCGAACTGTCAAAACCATAGGATTTATTGATCTAGATAAAAATAATTTGTCCAGAATAGATCACACACGAACCAATTCATAGCTTTTGCATGCGGGTTCATGGCTTAGCTAAATATTTTCAGCGAGCAAGGAGTCAAATGTCAGTAGTGTTCTTTGGTTAGAAATTTTATTGTTTTTGCAATGGTCATTCATGTCGGTTTGTCAGTGGCGTTACTACCAACTAAAAAACATTTAAATTGACCGTTGAATGCGTGTTCGATGAGCAAATTGCGAGCGTTGTGTCTGTTTGTCTGTTGGTTTTCTAAACCTATGGCCGCCATCTTGGATTCCAAAATGGCATCTGACATAAATTTTCGTCCAATAATCGTCGTTCCCGTTCGGAAAATATCCATACACTGAAACAAAGACCATAGTTAGGAATACTATTTTGCAGAAAACACTTATTTTCAGTATAACTGTGCTTAATGCCGTTAAATCTACCATGATTTCAGTATAAATTCAGACTATAAATATAAACAAATTTAATACCACTCTGTCAAAACTACTATGCTTACTCAAACGGCATAGTAGTTTTGATTTAAAAATAAGTAAAATTAAATGAATTTCGTTTCTGCACAAATCTATTGGTGCGAGTATTTAATTTAAACCATCAATATAGTAATTTTGCCAATGGATTTTGTTTCTGTGTACTGTAGGGTATTTGACAGTATTTCTAAACAAGATGACCGCCATCTTGGATTCCAAAATAGCGTTTTGTTTCGATATCCGGACTATACTCTCCTGTTCTGGAAAAAGACATATCATATTCAGGAAGTTCGCAAGCACACTAGCACCACGTAGTGAGATAGTTCTGAACTAATATGACCACCGTCCGAAAGGACTTGGTCACCTGAACAACTTTGCTGCAGACAGTAACTGTCTACATGGCCAGGATCAAGAGATATTCTATGTTGGACCCGAATTCCATATAGTACAGAGATTTTCACGTCCGGTTGTATTGTTGCGATATGTGAGAGCGTGTTAGTGAAAATCTGAGGAAAATGCATAACAATTTGCTGTGAAACTCATTTCGACAGTTCTAATTTCATACATTTTTTTTTAGGTTAGTCAAAGGAAAATAATAAATAACTTTACACTGCGATGCACCCGCTAGTGTGCGTGCGCTAAACGCTCGGTTAACGTCACTAATCTCTATTATAGACTATGGCGCAAGTCATAAGTAATAGAAGTAATATGAAAGTGAAGCGCCTCTAGCGGCGTAGTTCCCAATTAAACCTGAATCAAATGTTGTTGGTCTAACCCAGTACAACAACTTTGTCGAAGACAATTTAGCTTTATATACTGAAACAAATAAGATAATCCACTATAAGTGGAAATCATGGGTCAACCGATTTTGGTCCAGAAAGTAGCTAGGTGACGCACTGATGCACTTAACACAAGCTTCCGGAATGTTTTTATCGAAGTGGTTCAAATTATGGAATTGTTTACATGAAGTGACCCATTTTTCAGCAACCGCAGGAATAATGTCACTAGTATCAAACATCGTCAGTGGTCAAGCATTTATTTCATCAAGTACGCTACAAACCCACTTCATAGCACATCTTTATGTTAACGAAAGCTTATATGCAATAAATGCAACCAATAAAGAACTCGTGATGGATTAGAATTGTCAACTATTTTTAATATAGCTCAATGATGATTTATCATGCAAGTTCTAGGCAGGAATCAATACATCATCTAACCATCTTCTTAACACATCAGTATCGAAATGGTTTGTCTGCCTGTGGACAGCCAAATTTATCCGTAACAAGCAGCGAACAGGCAAACGTTATTTGCGATAAGAAAGATGGCAAGCCACACGTATACAACGGAGAAAAGAGAGGCCTATCTTATCAGCAAACAGCAAATCATTTTTACGAATAGCAGCCGAACGAGGTATACCTGTCCTGTAGATGTAGACCGTCATTGTCGTCGGCGGTCTGTTCTGTGGTGGTTGTTTGTTATCTCCGGAAAGCAGTTCTTACGATTTTAACCGATCGGCCGACAACCCACGGCTTGCGACAAGTTCAGAAACGTGTCACTCAGAATTCAGCTAACTCCCAACATGTTGCTTACGGTTTGAATTAACATGCACGGAATAGTAACCGCACGTATCTGCGAGAATTGCACCGATTAGTGTTATTTTGCCAAAGTGAAAGACAATCGTTATCTAAGTAGATTGTAAAACAGACGATAAGCGCTCAATCTATTCGACGAGTGGGAAAAGGACAGTATTGCTCATAATCACTTATCGCGATTGGTTTTTGTGGGTAAATTTCCACTTTTCGGGAAGGACGGAACAGTTAACAGTTTTGATTCGCTGGAGCACCAGTATGTTTAGAAAAGAGGAGGCTCGTAGCGATCATCATGCTGAAAGTTGTGGTGTTTTGTTTGCAACTGTGGCTTGCAGTGGCATATGTGAATGAAGGTACTTAATCGTATATGAATGTTATCTGAGACAAGCTTCAAGTATTGATTTGTGTTTGTAGTGACGACTCAGGATCCGAGTTGGATTCTTTTCAATACGGTACAATGCGGAGCGACTACCTGCAGTGTCACCACCCAGGATTGCATAAATGATTTGGTTTGCGAATGCAAGACCGATTTCGAGTACAAGGACGATGGCCACTGCCATATTTGTCCTGGAGAAGGCCACATTTGCACAGGGTGCTGTTTAGGAGAAGCAGTTTGCTATGGGGGACGATGTCAGCGATGCTGGAAGGATAGCAATGGTGAATGTCTGTAAGTATTTGGAATTTTGAAGCATGACGTTCGCATTATCATACTAATGCATTTTAGCCCACAAGATTCGCTATTTTTTCTGACGGCAGCTCAAGTCGCTCTGGCAACTGCAATGG